GTATATTAATGACTGACCTTTTTTCCATACAGTCTCTCCTTGTGACGGTGAGAACTGCTCATGTGATTTTACGGTAAGTATCATATGTTTTTCCCATGCCAAAATGTTGGTGCAGATAAGTGCTTCACTTTGAAGTTGGTACTCAGTTCTTTTGTTTGTTTGCAAATGGGACTTTTTGAGAGGGACAAAGATTATATATTGTAGATCATATTTTTCAATAAAGATCAGTAGTGAACATACAACTAAGGAAGTTATGAATAATAGTATGAAGAATGGACTCAAATGTAACTATAGGGCTTAAAGTTAGCAACCTGTGATAATATATATTTGATTGTTGTCCATAATGCATAACAACAGGCAGTATGCTGGCTTTTATTGCATACAAAATTATCTCAGTGAACATTCAGATACATCCTTTGTCTCTGATGCCAACATATCCCAAGACCAAGGGCTGAATTCTGATTGCCTTGCTTATTATGGTGGGAGACAGAGCTTCAGTCTCTTACCCCTCCCCCCTTCCCTTCTCCTATTTATTTCCAGTTTTCAAATCCCCTACTCATAACTCCGGTCATCTGAAGAAGTGGGCTGTGTCCATGAAAGCTCATGATACCATCTGCATGCTTTGTTGGTCTATAAAGTGCTACCAGACCATTTGTTGTTTTTATCTGTAACAGACTATCTCAGCTAACCCCTGAAGCTATTAATAACGTTGAATTAATTAGTCAGGTCAGTAAGATAGACTGAAGAATGATGGAAAGAGGAGAGATAGCAGGAGAAAAGAAAACTATTGTAAAATCCATACAATGTTAGAATCAAGTTCAAATTTTAGAAATATAAACTATTGATAATGAAGTTGACTTCTCTTCTCTTACAGCTATGTAATTCATCTCTGGGATCTCAACCATGAAGGAACCTGGGAGGGCAAGGGAACATATGTATATTATACAGATTTTGTCATGGAGCTAACCTTGCTTTCACTGGACCTGATGCATCATATTCACATGCTGGTATGTGACACTAGTCAGTGTTAAGCAAACATAATTGTCTTAATATAAGTGACCTAGCGACACACATTTTTAATTTATAATGGGCTGAACATTACATAGAAGGTGTCTAAGGAAAACCATTTTGTTTTGGCATAACTATCTGTATAATGTATTTTGCAGATGTTTCACTTCAAACTGATATGTACTTGAATAATGTCAGGCTTGAATTGTCAAAAGACAAATTATTTCCATCCCCAACAAAAGACATCACACTGGTTAGAAGTGAATGTAACTTTTTTGTCATAAATACTTCATTATTGAAATAGTGTCAACAATGTAAATTGGAGGTAGTTCTTGTGAGTCTATTTCAATGTAGAATACAAAATAACCTGAGTTAATACTGTTTTTTCTCTGTATTTTTTTTCTTACTGCTAGTAAGAACCTCATCCAGTGCCCGTAGGCAGAAGTAATCTTGTAACTGAAACTTTCCTCCCTTCCTAGGTTGTGAAGTCTGAGTAAATGTTTCTTTGAAAACATAAATTACAGGCAAAATTTTTACATGTGATGGCGGAACAGCTGCAGCAGCCAGATTGGAATTTTCAGAGCCATTCAGACAGGAGCATTCTGCTTTGCTATCCATAGTGACTTGTGTGACATGTACTGCATTTTCACATTTTTCAATTTTTCTGTTCAGTTTCTTGGCATTCATTTCTGAATACTGTTTTGTTTTGTTTTAAAGCTATTTGGCAATATCTGGTTGTCGATGGCCAGCCTAGTGATTTTTATGCAGCTGCGTTATTTGTTCCATGAGGTTCAGCGTAGAATCCGTCGTCACAAGAACTACCTGCGTGTGGTTGGGAACATGGAAGCTAGGTGAGCATATGATGAGTGAGTTTAAAGTGCTGAGTTGGAGAGCCTCCTGATAAATGAATGAGGGTGAGGAAGTTGTGGTATTTACCATATGTTAATATAAAGGGCTTGTGAAACACACATTTCCTGATCCAGCTGAAGCCATGTGTTAATTTGCTCTGGGGCTTCTACTCTTTGAGTTGGTGACACACACAAGGTGAAAGCTTCCAACCAGGAGATATTTTATCTGTTTTTACAGGTCTCTGTTTCACTTGTTTTTGTATAGCATGGATCCTAAACATTCCCCAGATAAACTGTATAGCCTAAGTGAATGCCTTTTACTCTCCTTTCCAGTGTCAGTATATATTGTATTAGTATTTGCAAGGAGATCATGACTTAAAGGGTAGGTTACAAACCACAATTAATAGTTTCACATTTGAGTTCTTTCAGAACTCTTGGGTGAATGCCATCTGGTTCTGGTGATTTGTTACTGTTTAAAAGTTTCAGAGAGGTAGCTGTGTTAATCCGTAATTGAAAAAAACTTTAAAAACAACACATAGTCCTGTAGCACCTTACGGTGTGTCTAGACTTACAAGGTTTTGTCAACAAAAATGTAGTTTTGTCAACAAAACTATACCTGCGTCTACACTGCCGCCGAGTTCTGTCAACATAACGTTGACGGCAGTAAACCTCATTCTACGAGGAATAATGCCTTTTGTCGACAGAGTTCCAAGTAAATAGCAGAGAAAGAGAGGGGATGGGGTGGGACAGGAAAGGAGACAAAAAATGGGAAAGGAATAGTCAATTAGAGTGTCCATGCTAAATGAAGCTGATAGTGTTGATTCTAAGTACTCTTAAATACCCGGTGGTTGGCTTTTTATGTCCTTAGGTTATGGAATGTAGTGTCTAATCCAGTTAAGGTCTTTGTTTAAATCTCTATTGTGGGTATCAGACTTGTAAATTAAATTAAGTTCTGCAGATTCCCTTTCATGCTGTTTTTTTGAAATTTTCTTGTAATAATATGAAAACTTTGAGATCCATTAATGAATGCTCAGGCAAGTTAAAATGTTCCCCAGCAGGTTTCTGTGTGTTACCTTTTTGAATATCTGATTTGTGTCATTAATCCTTCATGGTAGAGCCTGTACAATTTGGTCAATATACATGGCAGAGAGGCATTGCTGGCACTTGATGGCATAGATCACATTGGTGGATGTGCAGTTATATGAGCCTCTGATACAAGGTTTAGGTCCTGTGATGATGTCGCTTGTATGGCTCTGTGGACAGAGTTGGCACCGGAGTTGATGGCAGGGGTGTGTTCCTGGATGAGTATGATGGAGGTGTGCTGCATGGTTGTTGGAAATAATTTGTTTGAGGTTAGGTGGTAGTCTGTAGGGCAAGGACTGCTCTGTCTCCCAAAGCCTGTGAGAGTGAGGGGTTATTTTCCAGGATAGCCCTCATTTTCCAGGAAAATGACCCATCTTTCATGATACCATCTACATTTTTTGTTAGTCTCTCAAGTGCTGCAGGACTATTCATTGTTTTTAAAGTTGTTACTGTTAAGGTTATCAATTTGTTCCTGGCAGCTCTTGCTATATTTAAAAAGCAGAGGTGATTGAAGTGATCATGTTTGTCTTTTCATATTATAGGTTTGCAATTGCAACTCCTGAAGAGCTAGCTGTCAATAACGATGACTGTGCCATTTGCTGGGACTCCATGCAAACTGCCCGTAAACTCCCATGTGGGCACCTCTTCCACAAGTATGTATCTGGTGAAGATGTAAGTGTTCAGTTGAATGCAGAAAGTACCTTACTGTATATAGATTCTTGGTTTGAACAAGCTTGTTTTTTTCCCTCTGTCTCTCCTTTCATTTCTTCCAGGAAGATTTATTATTTTTTTGAGTGTTAGATTAAAAACCCAGAAATGACACCTTAACCTTGTGCAACAAACATACAAAAACCTGTAGTTCAACCTGTAGTTCCTTCCATGGCTGTCTCCTAGCTGTTATTAATCAAATCAGAGGTTACGGGGCTAATTTGTTGTCATTCACTGCAAACCTTTTCATAAATATTTATCTGCATTCCAAGAAGCCTCTAATGAGATAATTTGTCGCTGTTGCAGAAACTCCTTTTACAAAGCTACAGAACCCTATGAATATTTAATCACCAGCTATGCACTTGAGAAGAATAGGCTCTCCTCTTCAGAAAGTTATTTTCCATTTATCTAAAACGGTTTACTCTGAGCTGCATGGAGCCAGTTAGTCAGAAGACAGGTTACTGAGCTCTATGAACCTTTGGTCTGACCCAGTATGGCCATACTTATGTTAGCGAGAGAGGCAACGTTAAAATGGATGACTTAAATTCAGATGTAATTAATTAACTTTCATACCCTTTAAAAATTGATTTTCTCTTTTCATTGTTTTTCTTTTTTTGCTACTAGCAAAAAATGGGAGAATGCAGAGCTATTTATTTTTAAAGTTAGGAAGTGGTGGAGTAAACTGAGTCCGCATTTGTGCAAGATGTACAAAAATAGATGACAGCCTGGATTCACATGGTTAGAATAATAGAATCATAAGGCTGGAAGAGGCCTCAGGAGGTCATAGAGTCCAGCTCCCTTCCCAAAGAAGGCCCAACCCCAGCTAGATCATCCCAGCCAGGGCTTTGTAAAGCCAAGACTTAAAAACCTCTAGGAATGGCGATTCCACCACCTCCCTAGGGAACCCATTCCAGTAGTTCACCACATTCATAGTGAAATCGTTTTTCCTAATATCCAACCTAGACCTCCCCCACTGTAACTTGAGACCATTGGTCCTTGTTCTGCCATCCCTCACTACTGAGAACAGCCTCTCCCTGCCCTCTTTGGAACCTCCCTTCAGGAAGTTAAAGGCTGCTTGTAGGTCAAGTGTAACCCCCAGGTCCATTTCTGCTGAACTGCTACCTAGCCAGTTGGTCCCCAGCCTGTAACTATGCTTGGGATTCTTCCATCCCAAGTGCAGGACTCTGTGCTTGTCCTTGTTGGACTTCACAGATTTCTTTTGGCCCAATCCTTTAACCTGTCTAGGTCACTTGACCTGCCCTCTAACCTATCTACCTCTCCCACTAGCTTAGTATCATCCGTAAACTTGCTGAGGGTGCAATCCATCCCCTCATCCAGCTCATTAATGAAGATGTTGAATAAAACTGGCCCTAGAACCGATCCTTGGGGCACTCCGCTAGAAACCGACCGTCAACCTGACATCGAGACCTTACAATCCAATCCATATTTTCTTAGCTTGCTGGCAAGAATGTTGTGAAGACCGTATCAAAAGCCTTGCTAAAGTCAAGATATATCACATCCACTGACTTCCCCATGTCCACAGAACCAGTTACCTCAACATAGAAGCTAATAGGATTTGTCAGGCATAACTTGCCCTTGGTGAATCCATGTTGACTATTCCTGATCACATTCCCCTCTTCCAAGTGCTTCAAAACGGATTCCTTGAGGATCCCCTCCATGATTTTTCCAGGGACTGAGGTAAGGCTGACTGGTCTGTAGTTCCCTGAATTGTCTGTCTTCCCTTTTTTAAAGACAGGCACTACATTTGCCTTTTTCCAGTCATTCGGGATTTTTCCCTTTCCCCACGAGTTTTCAAAGATAATGGCCAAAGGCTTTGCCAACTCCCTCAGTACCCTCCGATGCATTAAATCCGGACCCATGGATTTGTTTATGTCTAGCTTTTCTAAATAGTTCTTAACCTGTTCTTTCTCCACTGAGGGCTGCCCACCTCCTTCCCATAGTGTGTTGCCTAGTGCAGTAGTCTGGGAGCTGCTCTTGTCTGTGAAGACAGGGGAAAGAAAGCCTCGAAAACTTCAGCTTTTCCCACATCATCTGTCACTATCTTACCTTCCTCATCCAGTAAGTTGAGTTCAGACTTGTGCCTTTAAGCTGTGCTTTCAAAAGGGTCAAATCATGTTAGCCCAAATCCTGTTGAATTTCAGTGGGAGTTAGGTTTACTTGTCTTTGAAAAGCCCATCCTTAATTTTTAGTAAACTTTGTTGTAATTTACTCTCTTACAATATTCAACACTTATTTGCTACAGTAAGTGATGATTTTATAGCATTAACACCCCTAACAGCATCAGGACCAGCCTGATGTAGTTGGCTAAATTTATGTCTACTTTGGTGTTACTGTTACCCAATTAAACGTTCTGTTTAACCTGTTAATCACTTAAACAGGGTCAGTGGGAGCTGCTCCAGTTTGATCCACTGGAATGGGAACTTGCACTGAGTCTCGTGGGTTATAGTTTTGACTTTGCCATTGGCTTGTAGTTTGGCATTTAGAAAATCTTCTTTCAACTGTGTTTCACCACCTGTAAAATGGGGGTGAGACATACTGAGCCTCTGTAAAGAATATTGAGACCTTCTGATTAAGTATACAGGTGACCCCCAATGCGTTTGGTTCCCGGGGAAGTGTAGCAAGTCGGGGGCATCGTAACTTAAACCTTCATTGACGATAGGTGCCGTGCGCCATCGTAAATGCGAGCCGAGGATGTAAGTCGGGGGAGGGCGGGGGTTGGCCTGTTCCACACTTTAAAAAATAGTTGTAAGTGCGGGGGGTCGCAACTCGGTTAGTCGCAACTCAGGGGTTTCCTGTATTTATATGAGCACCAAGTATTTTATAAGAAATTGTATTGAATTTCTGCAGCAAAATACTGTTTTGAATTCTGCATGATTTCTCATTGTAGACTAGGGAGTTGAATCATACCAGTCTGAATCAGAAAGCAGACAAAGTACTCAGTAGATTCCTGTAAGTTCTGGGACTCTTAGAGTTGTAGATGTAGATGAACGTAGGAAATACATGCATTATTGCTTGCATCAATACATCTTAGTCCATAACATTTTCAAAGCGATAGGATCCTTGTTAGTAATATAAGTAAGGTAACTGTTTGAAAAAAATAATAACAGTACGTTGGAATGCTAATTCCAGACCAGTCTGCCTAAAAATGCCTTGAAGATTTACCAATACAGCCACAAAATCTACTCCCCTGGTCTTTATGATAATGATCATTTAATGTCTCCTTATAAACAAAAATGTACTTGTTCTGGGTTACTTGGGCAAGTGAAATCCTTCAAAGCTTCTCTAGACAGAAGAAGGTCTGTCTGGAAGTCTAGGTATAAAAGCAAGGTAAGAATAGTTTCACTTGTTTTGAGCTGAGAAGATAAACCAAGTGATATGGGCATCAGAAGCTGATTAGATAGTCTATTGCTTCAGGTAAGATGTCTGTAAAATGTCACAGAGCAATCAGACCTATTAATGTGTTGTGGAGAATATTGTGAGGTGTGATTGTTACACTGCAACTTTTTGGTGCACCAATGGTCTTTGATACCTCAGACAAATGGTATGTGCTGATTATGGTTTTCTGTTGCCTGGTTTCTTAACAGCTCATGCCTGCGTTCCTGGCTTGAACAGGACACATCCTGTCCCACCTGCAGAATGTCTCTCAATATCACTGACAACCACCGAGTTAGGGAGGACCATCAGAGAGAGAACCTAGATGAGAACTTGGTACCTGTGGCAGTAGCAGAAGGCAGACCTCGCTTGAACCAACACAATCACTTCTTCCACTTTGATGGTTAGTTAACCAGGTTTTATGAAGTGGGTCTTTGCCCATGAAAGCTTATGCTCCAATAAATCCGTTAGACTATAAGGTGCCACAGAAATTCTCGTTATGCTTCAGACTAACACGGCTACCCCTCTGATACAGTTTTTACAGTTGATCTTATCCAGAAAAATAGAAGAGCAGTAGCCTTCTGTACAAGTGCATCCTCACTGTGGTCCAGGATACACTTAAACCATATAAAAATGTCCTTTCCCCTTCAGCTTTCTCAGACATCTAGTTCCTTCTAGTTACAGTGAATATTGATTCATAGGGCAGGTCTGCACTGCAATCAGAGGTGTGACTGCAGCATATGTAGACATATAACAATAACAATGAAGCCACAGCAGCACAAGAAGCTGGTTAAATATGTACTGAGGCTCTCCAGTGGGCTTAGCCATCTAATGCTGCTGTCATGGCTTCACTGCTAGTGCTAGCTGAAAGCTAGCTCACATATGCCTACACTTGCTTTCATCACACTTCTGAAGAGGCTTGAACATATGCTTTTAAGACTATCCAAAGCCGTAGAGCAGTGGTCTCCTACCTTTTTAAGCACAAGATCACTTTTTGAATTTAAATCAGTCTAGGATCTACCCCTGCTCTACCCATTTGCTGAGGCCCCGCCCTCCTTCCTCTGTGGATATGGGGTACAGGAGAGGGGGACAGAGACATCAGTACCCCCCTGCTTCTGTTTCCCCCACCCTGCACAACAAACAGGAAACTCTCAGAGCAGCTCTGAGGCTCCGGGCAGGAGCAGCTGGACAGCAGTAGGAGGGGCAGCTGAAGTGCCAGCGGTTGATAGTCTCCCAGCCAAACCAGTCAGGATCACCCATCAGAGGCTCCAAGATCTACTGATAGATCCCGATCTACTGGTTGGTGACCACAGCCGTAGAGACTTCTGAGAGCTCCTTTCCTCCTGCAACTCAAGGCCAAGAGAGTAGCCATTTAGAGTTCTGCAGGATTAACAATTCTAGAACTGTTATTTGTTGCATATATTCTCATGCTTATTGGCAGACCAAACAATGCTTAGTGTTTGTCTGCCATCCAGATTGTTTGCTAATCAGTGGCTGCTCTTGAAAGACTGTTATATGTTAACATGAATGTACTGGAGGCTTTCACCAAAATTATACTTACCATCTACTCTCCATTAACTAGCCAAAACTTGGAAGAGTCTTGCAAACCATGAGCCACAGAAAATTCTACAGAGGCCTAATAAAGTTTGATCTTAACTAAAAGCATATGTTCAAAATTGAGTTGATCATTATGGGTAGGTGGTCCTGGTAGCTTCATTAATTTATCGTGTGTAATATATTGTCTATATGCACAAAGACTTGCCAGTGGTTCTGGGTCACACTGTTCCCCAGTATGCTGGTACATAAAAGCTATTTCTGGTGCAGAAAAAGCCCATTAGTGCAAAGGTTCTTCCAAATTTTTGTTAGCTTTGGCATCAGCATGTCTTTCCACATCTGATGGGAAATGTTAACACTTGATAGTAATTTTAAAGCTTCACTTAAGTGTGTGTTCCAGGCAGCGGCGATTGGGCTTTCCCCGAGGAGAGTTCCAAGCATGCTCATAGCAGGCATTCTGACTTCAATGCTGCACTGTCACACAATGAATCTTTGTGTAATATTTTTAATTTCACATCTTACAAATCAAGAGAACCAAGAGAAGAAAGTCAGGTCCTTGCTGGGTGTACCCACATGTCACTGCAAACTGTTTTCTGCACCTTCTCTATTTTCTGTGTTAGTTTTGTCTCTCCTAAGGACACTCTCCTAAGTAGAAGCTCCCCTCCCCACATACTCACATGAGAGACCATTGAAATTGCTATGAAGGCAAGACCGGAAGTTGCTTATAGCAAGGCATGGACCAATAAAGAATGGGAATGAGGGTTTATCCACTTTCCATACTCAAGTAGGCCTGATCCAGTAATTGCCACAGGAAGAGGTGGAGGATCACACAGCACTATTGCTCCATGCTCTTGCATAGCAGCACTTTCCCAGGGATACTAGCAGCATGATTATGAAAGAACAGGGGCCAAACTTAGCTCTTATAAGCAGGCAGATCTCCATTGAAATTGATGCAGTTGTAGCCCTTTACAACTAGAGCTGAATTTCATCCTAGAGCTTTTTCCCTTTGTTTTTGAACAAGGTATTTTTACTCTTGGAACTTAACTATATTTACTGGTGCTGTAATGGAGTTAATGTCCTACTACTTTTAAACTTCAGAGACACAGTGGGGGCAAGTTCCAGACTGGTGCGAGCCGAAACAGAGCCAGGACCGCTGCAGCTCTGCATTTTAACTGTAGTAAATGAGCTGGGCTTGGGCTGGCTCCAGCAGCCCCTGTTCGGGGGCAGCCTCCTCTACTCCCCACCGCCCCGTTCCTGCCTCTAATAGAGGCAGCAGCGTAGGGGGAGGGGGCAGGCAGCACCATGGAGACGTTGCTGGGGAGAACTGGCTTTTAAGCCGGCTCCTCCTAGCACTAGCTCCCATTCCTCCTCTCCCCTCGCTGCCTCTGATAAAGAGGCAGCAAGGGGTGGGGGAAGCGAGTACTCTGGTCGTTGACTATTTGACTACTCACTTATATCCCTGTTCTCTGATAGCCCCCAAACTATTAAATGCTGTCCTCCTCCCAGACCAGTTTTTGTTTAAAAATAAAAGTGCTACAGTTATTGTGAAAGATCAGCCACAGTGGCTGGTTTAGTGAAATGTTAATATGTACATTTCAAACAAATAGGGACAGTAATGGGGAGAGAGATGTGTTTATCTTGGATCCTGCCGCCTTCTCCATTTGGCAGACATGCTTAGAATGGAATCCATTATAAATTTCCCTTTATTCATTTTTTGTAATTATAGATGATGGATTAAATACCTATGAAAAAGCTCATATCACTGAAAACTTCTTTTATTTGTGCCTGATTTTTCTTTTGGTTTCTTGCTCTTAGGCTCTAGAATTGCTAGCTGGCTGCCCAGTTTTTCAGTGGAAGTGATGCACACTACTAATATCCTGGGTATTGCACAAGCAAGCAACTCACAACTTAATGCTATGGTAAGACTGATTAATAGATTGTGCTCCCATGCCTGTAAGTCTGTTTTGGCTGAACAGGATGACATAAGATGGAGGTTTTATTTAGGATGACTAATAATTTACAAGGGTCATACATATTTGTATATATTTCAGCGCTGTTCTTTAAATTGTCTAATAGGAGGAAAAAGACCAGTGTGTTAGTAAACCTAAGTATTATGCATTTTAAAATGGAAATTAAATAGAATTTTGCTTCATGTTATCTGAAGCAAACCCTTGTACAGTATTCCAAGAAAGAGGCCATTAGTGGCTGAAATCTTGTATCTGTTACTTGGCCACAGATTACTAAAAAGGGAAGTTGTTTTTATGAGTTGTGTTAAAGGGGAGGGGTTTTAGAGAGGCTCCAGGAATGTTAGGGAAACAGCAAATGTTGACAGGAAGCCAGGAGAGCCAGTGAAAACAGCCTGTGGGTAATTTGAATTGGAATCAGTGATCTTCTTGTGGCAGTCCTTGTATAACCAGAGCAGAGCTGGGAGAGATGAATTGAGCCAGGAAAACAGGAATGGAGGATTCAGTGACATCCATGCCTAGGGAAGAACCAGATGCAATCAGGTTATTTTCTCTGTTTTTGGGTTTGTTAGACTTCTCTGTGCTGAGTACACGTAACTACCCCTCCCTCTTTATACTGTAACTTTTAAACTGAATCTCACGGAAGTAGTTCTCTATGCATAAATCTTTCTTTCTTTTCAGTTGCTCTATAACACCTAACAATCAAGTATTTTTTCTTTTTTGTTAATAAAAATCACCTTTTTTAAGACCATGATCTGATTCCTGTGTCCTAGAAAGGAGGGGGTTCTGTGTACGTTGGCTATTAAGACTGCAAGGTTGGCTATTAAGAAAATTAGAGGTGTTTTTTTTTAAGCGCGCTCCAAAGGGAATGTTAAAGAACTTGAGGGATCCCATAGGAAATTCCAAATGTGTCTTCCTGGGTTCTCAAGGTGGGTTTACATTTGGGTGGTGTCAGCTTACTATCCATGGTCAGGGAATCTGTGACCCTGGGAAGTTTTTAAACAGAAGCCTTTAGTGGCAAAGTATTTTAAAGTCTCTTGCAGAGTCCAACTTTCTACACTCAAAGTGCCAGAGTGGGGAACATCTGTGCTGTATCTGTTTCTTTGTGAACTAGTTAAAAGTGCCATCCAGTATGTGCCTGGTTTTCTCTCCACTATCCCACACACACTATTTGCATTGGCTTTTTTTCTTTCCAGGCAAAGGGAAGGTTTACTGATCCTGAAAGCACTTGTACTGGTCCTATAATATTTTTCTACACCTAGGAGTTATCAAGACAGCTCAGCAGGGGTAGCTCTCGGGACCCAGTGCAGGCTGGGACTGAGCTAGGCTGCCTGCCTGCCTGCCACCTAAATGACTTTTTATGCAGATCCACAGTGGGGGTAGCTTCCAGGACCCAGCATGCCTGGCTCATAAGTGACTTTTTATGCAGAGCCCCAGTGGCGGTAGCTCTTGGGATCCATCGCAAGCTGGGACTGAGCTGGGCTGCCTGCCCAGCTAGATCCTAAATATCTTCAGTGTGGAGTTGCAGCAGGAGTAGCTCCCAGGATCCAGCGCAAGCCAGGACTAAACCAGGCTGTTGACCAACCTGCTAAAACATTTACTGGCAGAAGGGGGAGGGATGCATGTAGCCAATAGCATTAACTGATACGCATCCGCTTTCTCATTTTTGGTTCCTGAGAGCATGGGACAAACGGCAATTGTTCTCAGCCTTTTTTTGAGACGGAAAGGGAGAACAGCTGGGTCCCATTTGCTCTTGTAGTTATTGTAATTGCACATTTACCACAACTGGGATGGAATTGCGATCACTGCAGATACAAACTATGCAGCGAAAATTTGGGTCTTTGAGATACCTTCCATTAATACTTGTTTTGGAGACACTTTGCACACAGATTTTCATATTATAAATTTTGCTTTTTACAGGCCCATCAGATTCAAGAGATGTTCCCTCAGGTTCCTTACCATATAGTTCTACAGGATCTCCAGCTGACCCGTTCTGTAGAAATAACAACAGAAACAAACTATGCAGCGAAAATTTGGGTCTTTGAGATACCTTCCATTAATACTTGTTTTGGAGACACTTTGCACACAGATTTTCATATTATAAATTTTGCTTTTTACAGGCCCATCAGATTCAAGAGATGTTCCCTCAGGTTCCTTACCATATAGTTCTACAGGATCTCCAGCTGACCCGTTCTGTAGAAATAACAACAGAAAACATCTT